CCGGAGCCTGTGCTCCGCAAATGGGAGAGGCCACAACAGTGAGAGGCCCGCATAACGCAAGAAAAAAAGAAAAAAAAAAAAAAAAAAAAAAAAGTACACGAAGCAAAAGAAGTTGACAGAAATAAAAGGGAAAGTAGATGAATTCTCAGTAAGTTGGAGATTTTAATACATCTATCTCAAAAATTGACAGAACAAGCAGTTGAAAAATCAGGATATGGAACGACACTAAATATACTCAATCCAACCCTATTTCTATTGTGCTACTTCTTTTTTTTTAAATTTATTTTTATTTATTTATCTATTTTTGGCTGTGTTGGGTCTTCGTTGCTGCGCGTGGGGGCTGTTCTTTGTTGTGGTGCGCGGGCTTCTCATTGAGGTGGCTTCACTTGTTGCAGAGCACGGGCTCTAGGCACGCGGGCTCAGTAGTTGTGGCGCACGGGCTTAGTTGCTCCACGGCATGTGGGATCTTCCCAGACCAGGGCTCGAACCCGTGTCCCCTGCTTTAGCAGGTGGATTCTTAACCACTGTATCACCAGGGAAGGTCCCTATCGTGCTACTTCTAATATGCTTTTCAACACATTTAAAGTACACGAAGCAAGGACTTCCCGTGAAGGCCACCCCCACAAGCCACCACCCTGGAAACACACCTGCCCCTCTGCACCAGGGAGAACATCATCTTCGTGCAGTGCAGGGTGGTGTAGCCAGGAGATCGTATGGTGGGTCCTCCAGACCTGTTCCCAGTACCTGCTGCCTCCCGGCCTTGGCGCTTAGATTTCTTTGGAATTGGGTTCTGCCACACGTAATCTCTTAGTACCTGTCATCTCCAAATGGCTGCCAGTTAGTGCTTGAGGCTCCTCTTTGTAGCACTTCTTTGATTTGTAGTCAGGGTTTCCTGGTATATAGAATAAGGAGAAATGGAAAGTTAAAAATATAGCCTTTCCTAGTTATACAAAAGCAAGACTCATTTCTACTAAATGGTCAGCTGTCACTACGTTTCCTTTCTTTCATCCTTCCCTGGATATCCAGGGCAGATTAGGAGGCAGTGTGTTTTGGGGGAGTAGGGTGGCACCACACAGCACAGGCAGCCTAAGGTGGGCGACAGTGTGAGGCAGAACTGGACTTCCACTCTGGCACTCTGTTTCCTTTACATTGTTTTGCCTCCTTTATACTATCCCGAGAAATCAAAACTCATACCGGCATGGAGGATGTCTCAGCTGAAGTATAGTCGCCCTATTTGTGCTAACAGTCTCACTGCCATGAGGATCTTGGGCAGCTCCTATGGCATCCTGCCCCGATTTACATGGTTTTCATGAAACAGACATCCAGGCCCTTTGTTTCTGTTATAGGGAATTCACCCCAATTGTCATTAAGTAGGGGGCCAATCTTTGCAAAGCCACATTGTCTGACAGCTCTGTTATTAGTTGGTGTGACTAAACCCTTGAAAAGCAACCCGAAGATTCAGCTTCACAGAGACTGAGGTTTAGAATTATATGATTCTAGACCTGTAACTGCTCAACGAAGGGAAGCAAGTAGCAGCATGGAACTTAAAAAAAAAAAAAGTGGTACGTTAATTGTAATGACCACTGCAAATAAGGGCAGGAGTGTCCGTTCTGTAAGAGTCTGCAGTCTAAGTATTTTCTTGCTCTGTGTCCTCCTCTGCCTCATATTGTGCCACAGCAGCTGAGTGAAGGGATCAGAAGTGACTGTCATGGTGCTCACTCACTGAAAATTCCCAGAAATGAACTTTTGCCCACTCCTTCCGCCCCCGAAAGCAAGAACCTTTCATAGCACAGAGGTGAATAGGGCAGGACCAGCTTTTTAAGGCCTAGTGGCCCATTTGGATAGGACTGTTGATCTTCACAGCCCTTATACTGGAAGCAATGGCTTTGTTCTTCTCTCCCCCTAGGATGCGTCTGGCGCCAAGGTCCACACCTCACTCAGAATCACTACCCATTCTTTCAGTCTTCCTAGAGTCACTGGTACAAATGCTTAATGGAAACTAAATACATAAGTAATATATCAGTCAAATAATATAGAATTCATAGTGATTGTCTTTTTGTTTCTTGGGGCAACTCTTGCTGAGAGGATGGCGTCAGCCCACTTGTAATTGCCTACATTGGATGCTGAGGTTCTTTGGGATTTCTACAGTTATTATTAAATACTTGTCTGAATTAGGGAGAAATCAATGTAATTCACCACATAATTGAGTAAAGGCAAAAAACCGTAAGATCATTTAAATAGATGCAGAAAAGGCATCTGATGAAATTTAATCTCAGTTCATGATAAAAACTCAACAGACTTATCTTCAAGTTGATGGTGTATTTACACAAAATTAACATATCTAATGGCAAAAGAAGAATCTCTACTTTTAACATTTCTATTCAGGGTTGTACTGGCAGTCCTAGTTCATGCAGTAAGGCAAGAAAAATCAAAGATATAAAAATTGGGAAGGATAAAGTATGTTTATTTTGTAGGTAACATGATTGTATACATAGTCCAAATCTGAATCTGAAGGTTAATTCTCAGTCTTCGTTCTACCTGAGCTGTCAGTCTCTCCCTCCTTGAGAGTCCTTCACTTCACTCGTTCTCCTCCCTCCCCCACCCCCTGTCCCCTGCCATCTCCTTGGCTGCATCTTCCACATCCCACCAGAGGTGAAGAGGTTCCAGGGCCCAGTCCTCGGCCTTTTCTGTCTGCAGTTACTCCCTTGAACTCTTCTCACCTCATGACTTCAAATACTGTCCATGTGCTGACATCTAATATAGTACCCACTAGCTATCTAAAGCTATTGAGAATATTTAAGTGGTATTCCTTGCCCCTGCTTCAGCTAATACTTAACTACCAGAGCTCGAAACCCTCCATTTTCTTCCTGTTTCACCTGTTAAAAAAGCCAGATGCCTTACATTGACTTTTAAGATCCTACAACCTGCTTCTGCCACCCCTGCCATTAATCCCTCACTTCTTTTTTACAAACTCTGTTCCAGCCATGTTGGCCTGGAGGCTCCTTGAACTTGCCAGGTCACGTCAGCCTGCACGTCTGTTCTCTCTGCCACACTCACATCTTTCACTCAAATACTGCCTTCTCAATACTTAACGTAAAAGCACAGTCATACGTAATTTTCTCTCTTCCCTGCTTATTTTTAAATCTTCTCCGTAGCACTTATAATCTACTTTCACATTCTAATGTGTCTTTCCCAAACTAGAGGGTAAGTTTTATGAGGGTGAGAACTTGGTTTGTCTGTTACTGTATCCCCATTGCCTTTCACATAATAGGTACTTAGTGAATGTTTGTTTAACAAATCAAAAATGTACAGAAATTGCCATCCAGTAATATTCCATATATGTTCTCTTTATAGGTCATTAAACAGTTGATGAAAAAAGAATTTACTCTAGAGTTTTCACGCGATAGAAAATCGATGTCAGTTTACTGTACACCAAACAAACCAAGCCGGACATCGATGAGCAAAATGTTTGTGAAGGCAAGTACAACAGATTGCAGTTGAGATGTTCTTACCAGGATTGGAATCCTGGGTGAGCTAATAAATAAAATTGTTGATCTAAATCTGTAACATTTCCAGGGTGCCCCCGAAGGTGTCATTGACAGGTGTACCCACATTCGAGTTGGAAGTACTAAAGTCCCCATGACTCCTGGAGTCAAACAGAAGATCATGTCTGTCATTCGGGAATGGGGCAGTGGCAGCGACACACTGCGATGCCTGGCTCTGGCCACTCACGACAACCCACTGAGAAGAGAAGAAATGAACCTGGAGGACTCTGCCAACTTTATTAAATATGAGGTTAGCTAATGAAAAGCTTCCTTGCCCACATCCTGCACATTCATTGTGTTCAGACAGCACTCCTTCAATAAAAGGTCAAACAAGTCTTGCTTTTGCCGAGAAAAGGGTGTGGTTATTTGTTTTTCTTCAGGCCAAATGTATTACCTTTATAATTTAGATTGCTGCTTTAAACATACACAGTTAACTTAATACAGGCCTATTACTTTCAAAGTAGAATCATCAAGGCTAAAAACCTATTTTGCAGCTCTCATGTAAATTAAGATATTTTAAAAATTGAGGCTATTTTTAAAACAGTTAGTTACTAAAGGTCAAATTGTCCAAGTGGAGAGATTCCGTCTACTTTTCTGCTTAAGGAATACTTTCATATCAAGTATGTGACTTCCTGAAGCCTTGAACAGGGAACAAATTTGGGTACTATGGGCCACTAATTGGCCACTATCAAAATGTTTTTATTCCTCGGTATATTTTTTTCCTCATTTCAGAATATTATTATGAAAGCTAAAGAATTTGGTAACAAGAATGTAGTGATTTTTAATTGTTTCTGACGTATTGGAATTAATACTGTTCTTCATTGGATTTATATCAGTGGTGTGAATTCTGTCATAAGAAAATGCAGAAACCTTTGCTGTCCACACTGGGGGGAAAACCAGAATTTCCTGTTTTGACATAAGGTGATTCTTTAACTCTAGACCAATCTGACTTTTGTTGGCTGTGTGGGCATGCTGGACCCTCCAAGAATTGAAGTGGCCTCCTCTGTGAAGCTGTGTCGGCAGGCAGGCATCCGGGTCATCATGATCACCGGTGACAACAAGGGCACCGCTGTGGCCATCTGCCGGCGCATTGGCATCTTCAGGCAGGACGAGGATGTGACGTCAAAGGCCTTCACGGGTCGGGAGTTTGATGAGCTCAGTCCTTCAGCCCAAAGAGAAGCCTGCTTGAATGCCCGCTGTTTTGCTCGAGTTGAACCTTCCCACAAGTCTAAAATTGTAGAGTTTCTTCAGTCTTTTGATGAGATTACAGCCATGGTGAGTGTCTTTAGACATGTACAGGTAACAGACTGCACAGACACAGCAAGCAGATTCTAATTCTGACCATTAAACTTTTAGTAATAGCTCCCATATTTGGAACTTCTTTATTTTTGTCATGATCTGGGGCTGTTTATCAAGGATTCTATTGACCAGTAGTTGGCATGCTGTATGTTGCATGCATGGAAGATTCTGGAGAGGTTTAAGACCTAGAAGTCTGAATCAGTCACAGGGGAAATATTTGGTGATATCTTTTTTTTTATCTTTGTTGTGGTTAAAATATACATGTTTGTATCTCACGTTTCTAAAAGCTGATTCAGGACATAATCCACACTCTGTCACCCAGTTTTGGATAGCCTTACCTGAGATGAGATGTACTGGTGATGTGTTCTCTTATGAGCTACCTGTTGATGAAGCATTTCCCATATTCTTCCTCGCATCTGATTTTTTTCACTGAGACATGTTAACATTGTGTCCTATTTGCTTTCTCCTGCTTATCTGTGAAACTTCACACTCTTAAAAACAACTTAACTTTGTTGATTGAAACCAGTTATTATAGTTGTCTTCCTCTTTCCTCCCCCTTCCCTTCTCTCTCCCAGAGGAAAGCACCATTCTGAATTCAGTACTGGGTGTTTACTAAAGTATAGAAAACATACCTGGGAATGATAGTTTTGTATCTGTAGACAATATTTAAGTGTTTTTGCCCTTTTTTGGTCTTTATATTATATATTATAGTTTACATATTTTTGAAGTCTGCCTTTATTCTACTTGAGATTTATCCATGTGGATACAAGTATTTTGTCTTGACTGCCATATTGTGTTTTGTTTGGTAAAAAAATAATACAGGTAATTTGAAGTCCCCTTTGTCCCACTTCCCTCTGAAGTGTCACCTATTAGCTCGTTTGGCAATTTTACATTTCCCAGGTAAAATGTTTTATGACACCAACTTACAAAAACGAAAACTTTTCCAGAGAATTCTGTTGTCCACAGGCCCAACTGCTCCATTCATTCCCTGGCTTTAGGATGGCTGGGCATTTGTTGGCAGCGTGTTAGGTGGCAGGTGTAAACCAGTGGTGGGTTTCTAACCCTTTCAGACTGGAGACGGTGTGAATGATGCTCCTGCTCTGAAGAAATCTGAAATCGGCATTGCCATGGGCTCTGGCACCGCGGTGGCTAAAACCGCCTCTGAGATGGTCCTGGCTGATGACAACTTCTCCACCATCGTGGCTGCCGTGGAGGAGGGACGGGCAATATACAACAACATGAAGCAGTTTATCCGCTACCTCATCTCGTCCAATGTCGGGGAAGTTGTTTGGTGGGTCCCTGTGACAGGTCACATATATTCCTTGGCTTGTGATGATCAGTTTTCCAGATTTGCTCTTCACGTGGCAGCAGCTTTGCTCTTAGTGCAGCGGGAGAGAGGGAGGGCTGGGCAAGACGAAGGAGGCCCTTGTGAAGGTAGAGGTACTGCCTCTGGCCCTCAGGAGGGCTGTCTACGGCTGCTCCAGTGTGCAAAGGATACACTTTTAACATAGAAATGAATTTAAATCAACTATATAAGGTAACATAAAATTCTTGGTCTTGTAAAAGTTAACTTAATTTGAAATTGGATATAGTAAATGTTTTATGATTGCCCAGGGAAAAAGTTAAAACAATCATTGCTGTCCACTGATTTTTATGGAGGAAGATGGGGTGGTGATGTTATTTTAAATAGTGGCCAAAAATAATTTGAGGTCTTTTTCTTCTTTTCTTGGATGGAAACAGTATTTTCCTAACAGCAGCCCTTGGATTTCCTGAGGCTTTAATTCCTGTCCAGCTGCTCTGGGTCAATCTGGTGACAGATGGCCTGCCTGCCACTGCACTGGGGTTCAATCCTCCTGATCTGGACATTATGAACAGACCACCTCGGAACCCAAAGGAACCACTGATCAGTGGGTGGCTCTTTTTCCGTTACCTGGCTATTGGCTGTGAGTACAGTTTTTTATATTATTGATTTTTAAACGAATGTTTGAGTCCAAATTTTGTAAATGCATCCCTTAAAAGCACATTTTTTTCTGTTTCCATATTAGGGGAGCAAAATATGGAGACTGCCCTCTTGCAGTTTAATGAGCTGTGTATACCCAGTTTACAGTAAAGTTATTCCTTTACTTTAGCATCCTCGTTCTTCCTTGGGCCTTTGTGAATGAGGTTCTCAGATTTAATCTATGGGCAAAGGAAATACAGGGACGACTGAGGCCTTAAATCACCAAGATGTAAAATGAAGTCCCCCTTTCCCTAAGTGAGAGAAGGGATCTGTGCATCATCAGCAATGGTTGGTTCTTCCACATGTGTGGTCTTTGTAGACCTCGTCCTGACCCAGGATGCTGCTTCTCTCTTCCTCATTTCATAGGTTAGGAAAGTGAGGCCCAGAGAGGTTAAATGACTTCCTTAGGGTCCCATAGGAAACTGTTTTAATATGTTCACATGATTTAACACTCGAAAAACACACAGTGGCATAAAGCAGGAAGGCTCTCAACCAGTTGGTTCCCCTCCGGCACGCCTTCTTGGGATACTGTAGCAAATAGATCCGTCTTAGGTGTTTATTTTCACAAGCGAGATGGCATGCTGTACACACCTGTATGCTGAACCCTGTCTTTTTGTATTTCTCCCTGTTTTTTGGGTAGTTTTACATCAGTACCAGTATAGCTGCCTTATTGCTGTGCACCACCTGCCTACTGCTCTGTTGGAATTGCTGGGTTAGAGGGTGTGCACTTGGACCTTTCAGTGGGTACTACTGCATTGGGACAGTCTCTTATTCTCAAGTGCCTGTGTTCTCCACTACCCTTTGTTGCTTCTTTATAATAAACTTGCTGAATTCAAAAGTAATAGTTGGGGTGGGGGAGGGGATGGTCCCAGAATTGGCTTCAAGCATTGCCATGTGCTCAGCATTCTGCACTAACTGCTCTAATGGCCTTTCCATATAAAGGTTCTGCCAGGCCTTTGATGGAGCAAATAAATTAGTGTATAACTGGTAGCATGAGTTTGCCAAAAAGTCATGATGGGTGTGATCTGGTGCTCTAGCACAGCATGGCCTTCCTTACATGGAGAACACGTGCCTGCAGCCTTAACATACTGGCCACTGGTTAGAGAGGGCATGGCTAGTGTAAAGGTCCTACCAATTCTAGTAGGTGCTTTTCCTCACAAATTCTGGAGGAAAAGTTGCCTGGTTCTTCTGTACCACAGACACCCTTCTCGTTACGGAAACCATCGGCCTAGCTGCTTTATCTGATGCGAGTGAGCAGGTGCCAGTGGTAGCACAGGCTCATTGACATACCATGTCTTTGATCTCTGTCCTAGGCGTTGGCCCTCGAGGCAGCACCTGCAGTAACGCTGCAGGCCGTAAACCCCATGTGTGTTAGTGTCATGATGTTTGTTCCCAGGTTATGTTGGCGCTGCTACCGTGGGTGCTGCTGCGTGGTGGTTCATTGCTGCCGAGGGTGGTCCGAGAGTGTCCTTCTACCAGCTGGTACGTAGCCACCTTTCTTTGTGTACCTTAGATGCAAGGTGGTGTAAGTCTTCTCAAACAGTTGTCCTTGAGCTTTCTATGGTTTGGATGTCAGTCAAATAATCTTAATACTCTTAACAATAAGCAGTTGCATCTAAGGTTATTCTGAAGGACCAGGGCTTCTCTGGGAAATGCGGTGAGATTTTGTGTGGGTCTGTGTTCTGGGTTTGGTGTGGAATTGGTGTGTGGACTTTGGAAATGTCCTTGGCTGATCAGGAACTTGATTGGGCTTTTGTTGCAGAGCCATTTCCTACAGTGTAAAGAGGACAACCCGGACTTTGAAGGAGTAGATTGTACAATCTTTGAATCCCCATACCCAATGACAATGGCGCTCTCTGTTCTAGTAACCATAGAGATGTGCAACGCTCTCAACAGGTCAGTGAGTCTTCTCAGCATGCTGGGGCAAGAGCCTGACAGCCAGGGCACTGGGGGATTGTGTGTGTGTCGTGGTTGATTGAGAATCACGGGAAAGCTCCGCCCTCCCCAAAAGGAAGAACAAGCAGTACCGGTCTTAAGAGCTTAAGTCATCATCACCTCCAGGAAGTAGTGGGAGTGCTTAGCCACATGTTCTTCAAGAGACAGCAGAGGCCAAAAATAGGGACTTCTGCACCCCTGTGTGCCAGTGCCCACAGGGAAGGAGCTCTTGCCCTTTAGCATTGAGACAAACAGTATCACCTAATTAAGCCAGTGACAAAAATGGAAATTTCAAAATAGCCCAAGTGTCAAGGGCAATTGAGAGCAGGTTTGAACACACTGAAATGGGATTGCTGTGCTGAAGCCTAGATTTAAATTGGAAGTCTGTCCTACATCTGAACATTCTTCCTTAACTTTGCCACTGTAGAAACTTAATAGAATTAGGTCAGTAGGTAATAGGCAATGCCAGGTTAGCCATCACCTTATTGAAGTGTGGTTCTGAACAGTCTCTGTCGGTGATGGCATATGCCTTTGTCCTTTCAGCAGGCACATTTCACCCACCTACCTCTCCTTGTTCTGCAGCTTGTCTGAAAACCAGTCCCTGCTGAGGATGCCCCCTTGGGAGAACATTTGGCTCGTGGGCTCCATCTGCCTGTCCATGTCACTCCATTTCTTAATCCTCTACGTGGAACCCTTGCCAGTAAGCAGTGGGGGGAGCCTGGGCTGGGGCCTGGCTGCCTGTCCAGCAAGTCAGGGAGCTTGATGAGGTTTCTTTGTGTTTCAGCTTATCTTCCAGATCACACCACTGAATTTGACCCAGTGGCTGATGGTGCTGAAAATCTCCTTGCCTGTGATTCTAATGGATGAGACCCTCAAGTTTGTGGCCCGCAACTACCTAGAACCTGGTAAAGAGTGTGTGCAGCCTGCCACCAAATCCTGCTCGTTCTCAGCATGCACCGATGGGATCTCCTGGCCCTTTGTGCTGCTCATAATGCCCCTGGTGATCTGGGTCTATAGCACAGACACTAACTTTAGTGATATGTTCTGGTCTTGACTGACAGTTTTGCATAAAGGTGATGTTTAACTTAATCAATTAATTTTTTTATTGTTTAAGGCAACTGTCTATTTCTGCTGAATTTTCACATGAACATACTGGCTGGTGAAGGAGGTTTCATACTCTAGATTTTGTTTTGCTTTTTCTGACTCCAGTGGGGCAAGATTTTCCTTTTTTATACACATAATTAAAGTGTCCATTGACATGTACAGAGAACTAACACTATTTTATGCAAATATTTTTTTGTAGATGAAAAAGCATGTACAGTGTTCTGTTTAATACTCATCCTTGTATAAAAAAAATAGTTGAGCCAGCAGACATTGTCAGCAAATTAATTGGCAGCAGATTTTAGGAAATGAATGTGTGTGGGTTTTTTTCTAAAACTAAATAGCATGTATTTTGTCTTTTGCATGATCATCTGGATTTAATCTGAGATCACAGTCTATAATTTTTATTCATAAGCCAATTTTTCTGCACTGAGCAGAGTACTGCTACCTCAGTCAGTATTTTTTTTTGGTTTGCCCCCCACCCCCCCACCCATTCACCCTTGGCCCTTGTTCACCTCTACCCCCCCACCCCACTCAGCTGCTTCTCCTGTAGGGTTTTGATGGTTCTGTTTACATCAGTCTTAACAAGAGGTATGCTTGTTCTCGCTTGTGCAGAAAACATTGTTCCAGATTCAATCGACCAGGTTCATGTCCCCTCACATAGTTTTTAAGGTTATTTATTTAAATGTCTAATGTATTTTATTGTAACAGACATTGTTTTGCCAACATTGCCTATTTCAGTGGCACTTCACAATCTAGTTTAAAAAGAAAAATAAAACATTTTAAATGGACAGAGAAAAATAACTGTCTTGTTTCTAACTCTTAAGTGGCTTAGTTTGAACTAACAGATGTCCAACTTTCTCTTAAGTTCTTAGTTTTACTTTTAGTTTTACTGTGCTTGAGGGGAAGAAGTATCCTGTTCTGCTGCATAGGTGGTTGTAGGAATTTTATTTTTAGTGTATAGGCACTAATTGTTATCTGTGATACATTTTTATGCAAGTTTCTGCTGGCCTGTTTTAGCCTGGTGTAGAGGACAGAAGGGCAAGTGTGTATGTGCGTGTGTGTTTTGTAAAATCTGTAAATAGCACATGACCAAATGAACATATTGTATAGAACTATTTTTATTTGAATGTGGCACTAACCACCACCATCGTTACTATGATAAATGTTTGCGCATGTTCGAGATCAGTCTTAACCAACAGTGTGTAAGTCATTAACAGTCCTAACTGTGGTGTTTTCCTCCAATGCCTTCCAACATCCATCAACTAACGTGAGTATTCCCTGAAATTTGGATGCTTTAGCCTAAAAGTTACTGCCACTAAATGAGCTGGCTATATGACACTAATGAGTAAGCCCCTTATGTCAGGCACCCTGAGAGCAGCGGGCATACGATTTTACATGGCACCTATGCGCCTGTGGGCTGGGGTAGCTGTTCTCAACGCCACCCACTGCCTAGGATAACAGCACAGCCACATGTCAGTGGGGGAGGGCCTGGGGGAAGAGAAGGTAGTTCTGCTTTGGTCAGACTGACAGGTGCCTTCACAAATGCCAAGATGAGGATTCACAAAAAACTTGTCATGGTTCCTTTGATCTTTGTTAGCTGCAAGGACTTGTCCCAGAATCTTGCTACCTGGTTCATTAAAAAGCAAAAAGCGAATGAAAGCAAGTAACCAATAAACTCATGCATCATTTGTTGCATGACTTTTTTCTTTTTATGGCTGCATTGCGCAGCTTGTGGGATCTTAGTTCCCTGACCAGGGACTGAACTCGGGCCCCGGCAGTGAGAGCACTGAGTCCTAGCCACTGGGCTGCCAGGGAATTCCCTGGTTCATTTTAAATAGGCCACCTTTTTCCATCTTCTGGGTCATACTCTTTGCGGCTGAGATTTAACTGTGCTTTAATGTACCCTGGAGAGAAAAGATACTGGCCATAGTTCTGCTCAGCTAGCAAACAACCAGCCCCATCATTAGCCAGGGTGAAAGAGGGCCTAGGCAGCAGCTCATATTCAGGGTGGTAGCTCCCTCCACGTGAAGCCCCGAGAGTTCTTGTGGGTACTTGAAGGTACTTGGGCCCTGGCTGGATACAGGGCCAGCCGAAGACATGATGTAAATGCTGAGAGTCTGGGGAAAGGTTAACAGGTATCAAGCAGGACAAGGTACTGTGAAGTTAAGAGGTCTCCATGTAAGGGGGTAGAAAGGGCACATGGAGGCAGATTCTTAATTTAGAGTCCTGGCCTGGCTCATGGAGGCCTCTCAGAGGAGGAGGAAGCTGGTTTGGTTGGCAGAGAATGTAGGGGATACATTTTGCCAATTTTAGTGTTATGGGGTGTAGAAACAGGTTGAGCAGATCAAATGCAAGGAGTGTGTCTCAGATGCAAACCAAACCAGGATGTCTGAGCTTGTTGGGCGGGGTGCCATTCAGTGGTCAACTTTTCCTGACTCAGTTCCTTGATTATTATTGGCCCTTACAAAGTAAGTTGAATGGTATGGAAGGCTATTACCTTGTGCTTTCTCAGCTTCAGACCTGTCCAGCCCACAGAGGTGCAGAGTCCTTTTGTCTGCTCTGCTTCAGGCTTCGCTGCCAAAACACGTCTGCATTGGCACCTCCTCAGTAGTTAGTGCTGCTGTGGGCACATCCCTGGTCTCTGTCCTATAGGCAGCAGCAGGTACCCAGCCCCATCCTCACCAAGTACCCGCAGGAAGGCACCGCTGGCCTCTCTGCTTCTGCTGCTATCAGTAGCTGGATAGGACGGCAGCATCCTCAGACCCATCATGTTACATGCTCTCAGGCAGCTCTTGCCTGAAACTTGCTCCAGGTTCTTTCTCAACGGGCAAGTGGGCTGAAGGCCCATCCCATCAGTGTTCCATTTTTTTGCCACCCCATGCTCAGACTGACCTCTTTAGTAGAGCTTTTACCCTTTGCCCAGGAGATGGCAGTCTTACACGTTTCCTAAGTAGGGTACTGTGCCAGCAGCTCATTCTGCATCTGCACAGTGCAGGTGACACGTTGGCTAGGGAGAGCTGCAGGAGCTCAGAGACAAGCAGGGCAACTGCCACCTTCCCTCACAAGCAGCGGCTGCCACATTACCTTCAAACTGGGGCCTCAGGCCCCTGAATGTCTGTGTGGTGGGCAGACCTCAGGAATATCCAAGACCACAAGCGTTATTAGCTCAGTGTCTGCCAAGCCTGTTGTGTCTGCAGTGCGGCTGCACCAAATTGTGTCAAAACCACCACCCTGCATGTGAGGGTAATCTGCAGCCTTTTTTCTTGAAAGGGAACAGTGATAAGCAGTTCACCTTCTAGGACTGGATGCAGCCCAGAGGCTGGCCCCCCGGGAAGGAAGGAGAGAGGCTTGGCGCTGATTACCACGCTGCTCACTCTGCTTCGCCTTCCTTACCCTCTGCACTGCTAACCGAGGACTTCTTAACTTTTGTTATACCTGAAGCGATTGTCTGCCTGGTGGGATCCTCTGTAGCCAGGTGACATGAGGGGCCTGTGTTGCTGAGCCAGTGCTTCTGGATGCTACCCTGTGTAGGCAACCCCTCAGGGACAGTTGATCAGAAATGCTAGTCTTAAAATCTTAAAAGATCAAACCGAATATTCCTTTTCATCTGTCACTATTTATCTTAAATTAGTTATTCTAACATTTCCTCCCCATATTTCATAAAGCTGATTTCCTCTCTCTTTCCTTTTCAGCAATACTGGAGTAACCGCTTCCTAAACCATTTTGCAGAAATTTAAGGGTGTTCAGTTGCGTGCATGTGCGTTTTTTAGCAACACATCTACCAGCCCTCTGCATGATTGATGTTGGGGGGAAACAGAAAATTAGAAAAAACTCCCCAACTCATTGTGTGTTATGTGGAGGAAACATGTATTACCAGTGGGGTTTTTAGCTTTTAAATCAAAATAATTACAAATGTACAGTTTAGCTTAATGAATCAGAAAGCCTCTCCAGAGAAATTTGGTTTCTTTGCTGCAAGAAGAATGAGGTTCTGAAACCTTATCCAAGAGCTTAGAAGCCGTCAGCCAAGTCGCCATATTTCTCTGTGCAAAATGTCATAGCTTAAATAAATGTACAATATTCAGTTGTAATGCATGCCTTCAGTTGTAAGTAGCCAGATTTCTCTATGGTGTCATTGAAACATGCTACTTTTTAATTGGCCCTGTACAGTTTGCTTATTTATAAATTGAAAACACTACAGGTGTTGAATGGTTAAAAATGTAGGCTTCCAGTTCATAACTTCGGTTATTTTTTGAGTGTGCAGCTATTTTGCACTGTATTAAATGTAATTTATTTAATGAAATCAGAAGCAGTAGACAGATGTTGGTGCAATACGAATATTGTGATGCATTTCTATCAATAAAATGCTAAACGTCAATTTATCACAACGCATGTTTGACTTAGACTGTAAATAGAAAGCAGTTTGTTTCTGTGCTGGCAACAGGCATTGCACAGACATGGTTTCAGGTAAATAAATCTATTCTACGATAAGTTCACAGCGTGGTGTTGACTGTTCTCCTGCTGGAGGGGTGGGTGATGTGCACTGAGGACCTCCAGCCCTGCACCCTGAGCAGTTGTGCCCTTAGGTAGATAAAAGGGACAGAAAGTTCCTGTTGACTTTCTGCATAGGAGAGCAGAGTGGTAGAAGGTCTGGTTGTGTGACATGAGATCTATAAAATATTCCTGCCCTGGTTCCCCTGTCTCCCCTCAAGTATGAGAAAAAGAGTGTGTCATGAGTGGGGTTTTCAGAGATAATTAACATGATTTAAAAGTTGTCAGCAGCTTGGAGACTATAGTGATGGAGAGATACTTGTAATACTACTCAGATGCAAAATGTAAATCCCACTGTTAATAGATACAGAAAAGAGCTGAGTAAACCAACTATACTCCAATTTTTAAAAAAGAGAAAGGAGGTCCCCCCCAAAAAAAGGAACTGAAATCTATATACATGGG